TTACATTTTGTGCCCAAGGTTACGTTTTTGACCACATCTTTGCCTAGTCTCTGAACGGCGTCTGTCTAGGCCTTCTCGCCGTCAATGCATTACGGTGAGTTAACCGAGACTAACGGTCGGGAAAACTCGCACGAACCACGTGACCCTAAACGCATAGGGACCGGCACTAGTACTATCAGTGTCCTTCTCAGAGAGGTGTCCGTCTTATTGAGAGACAAATAAAGGGAGAATACAAAGCCTGGGACTTCCTGTAGGTGTCCGTTTTACGAAGGTTTGCGTTAATAGAGACTGTACTGTAATGTGGCCGAGGGATTGAAAGTAATATGGACACCTACCAAAGCCACCGAAATCAGAAGGAGAGTTAGTACAGGCTCTTAAGAAAGGCGACACACATTACTAGCTACAAGTCTTGTTGACTTCCTTCACTGTTAAGAGAAAACAAAGAATTCACCTGGATTTTTCTTTTTTAACGTTAAAAGACCAGATTCCTCAAATCTGTTAGCTCCAGAAATCTTACAACTGATTCCTTGATTAACATATCCCTCCAAATCTTTAAAGTCGTCCTCAGTCACAAACATTATGAATAGATGACCGGTCTGTGTGATGGCTCGTCGTTCATTCCTCTTGAACTGTATATCTGAACCGGCGCTTTTCCCCACCCACGAGTAGCTGACGCCATAACTGGGAGCGTGCTGAGGACACGCATAACTAAATTCCTCCCCAAGGTCAACGCTCTGCTCCACCTGTTTAGATTCCGTATCGTTAAATTCCCCTACAACTGCATAAGGAAACAAGAATATTATAAACTTGCCATGGCTGTGCTTAGTAAAGTTCCTTAACTCCCTCCCCCCCGGGCCCCTCATCAAGCATCTCCAACATCCACCATTACTTTGAGGGTCTCAAGGGGTGTGATAGCTTTGCCCGGGGGGATGACTCCCATATGATAGGGGCGGGGATGCTCGTCGTCTCGCTTAGGGGTGTAAATTTCAGATACGTTTGGTCTCGCTTTGGGTGTGCTAGGCAAAACACCATTATATTTAGCCGTAAAAGTCTCTTTTAGGGTTGCACTGGAAGAAATATTAAAAAATTGTATATTTACAATTCGTTTTATTTCTCGATTCATGTCATCGCTTTTAGGGGTCAAAAAAAGATTGGACCACGCCCAGATTGTTCTCCTTTAGTGGTTTAATTCAAAATTTCCTACGTGCATCCCCGCCCCTTTTAAACGGGAGTCCCCCCGGGTAACTTTGCCGGTTGACGGTTAATTTTTTTTAATTTTGACGGTTGACGTTAATTAAGTTTTAGGCGTTTTGACGGCTGACGGTTAACCTTATTCAGACCATCTTACTTTACCTAAAATTGCTTCAGGCAGTCGTGATAAAAAAAAAAGTTGCAAAGCACGCGGGGCTAACAGTGTTACTTTGTTTTTATTTTGTTTTGCTGTTGTTGTTGTTGTTGTTTTGCTTGTTGCTTTCTTGCTTTGTCAGTATTTTGCCTTCCGTTTACTGTTGTATACTTAAAGGGCTGTGCTTACAAAATCTAAGACGTTTGATCTGTCATCGGATCTGCTGAGCCTTAGTGGAATCCTGCCTCCTTAGTTGGTAATTCTTGGAACCATTTTGATTATCGTCATCACTTCACAATGTTGCATTTATTCATGCGATAAAGCAAATTTACTGTCACGCTTGCCACACAAGGTTTGACGTCATTTTTCTCTGTCGTGCTTTTGCGTAAGTTCGCTACTGGCTAAAAGACTACCGTTAAGATCCAACACTGTTAACCAGCGCAACAAATTAAACATTCCGTAATAAAACCCAATGAACTTCAGTCGTTTGATTAATTTTAAATGAATTCGGCAAATGAACAAAGTCAACCTAGCTAATTTTTTTTCAGTGGTACAAAGATTTCTCGCTCGCTGATTGGTCGAGAGCTATGGTCGATGAATGCTACGCGCGCTGTGATTGGTCGTTGCCCATGCTCTGTTAGTGCACAGACGCACGGTTGACGTCACGGGAAACCTGAGTATTTTCTTTGTTTTGTCCAACATGGCGCGGTTTTGAAAATGTTTGCGAGATTATTTCTGATTAAGAAAGTGAGTTCGCCTCGAAAAAAGTTTAGTAGGAGCTGTTTGCGAGTAAAAAAAGCAGACGACCTGGAAATGTTTTCAGATTTTGAAAGCACCCTTACCTGTAACAGCGACTTCTATCTTTCTGCTGAACGTCTCTATTCCCGTAACAGTGTCTGTTACAAAACACTGGTAGTGCCCATTCTGCGCACTTTCCAGGTAACTTCCATATAAGGTTCCATCTGCACCAACGGTGAACTTAGTATCTGAGGTAGAAATTGCTGTGTCGTTGAGCTTCCAAGTCCATGTTATGTTATTTCCACTAGCATTACACGGCAATTTCAAGGCATTTTTTGTTTTAAACTTGACATCTTCAGGAGCTACTAAATCCTTGGTTAGAAAATTAAAAATTTTTGGTGGATCTGATTGCTGTTGACCTGCAATTTAAACATACAGAGTACAGTTAAACCTTGGTTAAGCGGCCATCCCCCGGGTATCGGTATTGATCTTAAAGATAACAATGCACCGCATTATATTACGAAATTATGAAACTTTTTTATATTCCCATAATTTTCCTCTAAATTCACACACTACAACAGTCACAATTTGTGTGGAAGCCCTGTATCGATACACTACAACTTCATTGAATACATGGCTTGTGTAATTACCATTTGTTAGTGTTGAGAAACAGGAAACTGAAAGAAAAAGAATAATCCCCGACATCGTGAAGAATCAAACACACCTGCAAGCAAAAACATGAAAAATACCTCAATACAAACACAGTGTGGGAGTAAAATAGTGAGGAAATTGTTATAAGCGAGATTTCGTAAGAACTTCCGAATAGAGCTGGAAAGTTGCTCGTAGTTTTTAATTATTTCCTAGCAGATGTTTATAAATATTCTTAGTTTTATCAATTAAAGCTTTAACCCTCGATTTTCTAATAGGAGATTTGCATTTTCATGACAATACGTCAGGAGACAAGGTGGATTTATTCAAATTCATGATAACAGAATTGCTCGGCTTCCTAAAAACTTTTCGAAGACAAAATATTGCATTAACAAGTGGAAAATAGTAAAAATAAGTGCTTAAATGTTGCCCAAAAAGCGAAAAATGCTCAAATTCTGCTCCAAAGTCAAGAAAGTGCTCAAGAGTGCTGGAAATGTAAAATAGTACTCTAAATTGGAAAAAGTGCCAAGAGCAATCGGGACATGCCTATTTTATCACGCCATAAATGCCAAATATAACGTAACCGCTCAAATATTAATCGTCGATGGGCTTTCTAAACAACTTTTTCGGTTTTGTTTTCCTTTCTTTTGGCTGAAAACTTTTAAGGCTTCAGATTGAGTTTGTTAGTTTATATATTTTATTCATTTTTCACGTTTTCACTTAATATTTATTTATTCATTTTTTTTTGTCAGATCACGCTGTAATTTTTATTTATATAGTAAGGAGACATTTCTCACACGTTGTGTCAGTACAATTTATATTTTGCAGTTAGTCACGATTTTCATATTTTAAATTCCAGTGATTCTCAATAGAGAGTTTAAGCATCACGTATGACTGCAAACGGCAAACGTCGGATTCAAGTTGAGAGATTCTCAAAATAACAGCTCAAAACAATTCTGACTTATGGACAAAAATTAGCGTGAAACTACTAATTTATGTGTTGAAATAATGAACAGTAAACGGCAAGAAGAAGGGGAAACTTGGTCACATGGTACAGATTCGCGTTTACCTCACTAGACGTAAACGTGATGCTTAACCTCTCTAATAATATATAGATTTAGCCAGGGCTAAAAGCGTAGCTCTAGATAATTAATTTATAATTTTAAATCAAACAATAAACTTGTAATCCACGAATCGGTGAACTGGGGAGATCCATATGACGTTTAAGGGTGGGGCTGGGTGACTTAAGAGAAAAAATAATTTGCAAACAGTGCAAGAATGGAGCAACATCTAAAATCTTAATAAATAGAAATCACCTTTTACCACAGTAGATTAGGCGTGGAAAACAAATTCTTCCCAAGCAAATTCACCTTTGTGCCCATGCCACCTATACCACCTTTATTTTATAATTTTATGCTATAAAGGCCGTGAAGACACGATAGTCCCCGATGGCAGCCAATTTACTCGTTATAACTTATCGGTGTCTCCCTGTCTACAGGAAAGGCCAAAATGAAAAATTAGGTAGAAATTTAGGTAGAAATTTTGTGTGGCTCGCAACAATTCTAGCTGGTAGTGCGTAAACCAGCCTTTTTACACCATCTCTGATGTAAACAGAACTATCAGGCGTTGTCTGTTTGCAGACCTCGGACAGAATTTTTGTCATTTTTGACCTATTTTAATTATAATTTTGCAGTTTTTTAACGGAATAATCTCACAAGACAAATTGAATTCATTCAGTATTCAGGACGATCGAAACACACGCTTCCCTTGCACAACAAATTAGTATGTGTAATCCAATTTAGGGAATAATTTCACTTGCGTTTTGTCCAAATCCTAATAATTTCCCTCGCCTGAAGGCCCGGGAAATTATTAGGATTTGGACAAAACGCAAGCGAAATTACTCCCTACTTTTACGAGTATACCATTTGATTACCTATTAATATCATAGGTGACGAATTACGTTAGCAATGTTGGATTTTTGACATGTTTATCCTGGATCCGTATCGATCGAGAACTCCACTCTCTCAAATGTTTAGACCTTAAATTTGGCTTATAAAGTTCAGAATTTTTCAGACTTTTCCGGCAAAATACCTGTTAGAATCCTTCTTTATATTCTCTTGTGTATTCAGGTTTTCTAAAGCGTCTTTTTGTGCCCTGACATCTTCATTCACGGCATTTTAAAACTTCGTCGCCATCTTGACACTGAGACGTACGGAAGGGTTGCCATGGCAATTTTGTAATTTCACATGTGAAATACAATAATAGAAAAAAAAACACCATCAATAAAAACGTTTTTAAAAAAAAAATACACATTTATGGGGGCGTTTCTCCCCACAAAAAAAATTAAAATTTTTTAAAAAATGGGGGGGGGAGAGGTTTTTTTTTGGGCAAAATATTTTTGGGGGGGGGGGGGGAGTGGAGGAGTGGGGTGACGACGGATGAACCCAAAGCCAATCAAAACATTGTCATAAGAAACAAAGTCCTACGCAAAAATTACTTGGAAGGGTTTTTTTCACACAGTCCCAAGTTCTTTTGTTTTCCGTCCATTGTAGTAGTAGTTGTAGTGTTAATTCGTAACTTGAAGTCGGCAGAAACTCAGGGGCACCCAACAAGAAATTTTGAAAAACAGTCCTAAAAAAAACAACGAAGCATGAATAAAGCTTTCTGAAGCCACTTTAAATATTTTGGGAGAATGCTGGGAAAAATTTATCTGTCCCTCACTCCTAGCAAGACTATTGGAACTATTCCCAGCCAGAATGGTGCACCTACAACCGTATCTGCAACCTGACTTACTGGGAAGTTTCCCAGCAGACGTAGACATACATTGCTGGCCAGTTTGGGTGTCGTTATAGGGAAAAATTCTGTAACTGTTGACTATTACCGGCACCTTACAAACGACTTATTGACGGAATCAAGCAAAACTAACAACGAGAGAAGGACTAAACAACTGACAATTTGACAAACAATAGACGACTGTTTAACTGTGATTCACGATAGATGCCGGATCGAAACGCACCAATGACATTACGAGTGTTCATGTAGCCAATAACATCGCGGCTTAACTCACATAGGACCAATAACATCGCGACTTAATTGACCAATCAGGTCAATAACCAGAGTTTATACCATCAACTGACGTGATACAACTCACTTTGACTCTGAAGACGGACTACCGCACAGGTTGTCGAAACGTCAGTCCAACAGCAACAGTCCTATTCAGGACTACTTTCACCTACTGTAAGTTTGCAATGGTATCATTTTCTAACTACGATCTAAATTCTTACTTAAAGCCTAAATATCCATTGGTTTTCCCGCGAATATAACAGTAGAGATGAAAACTTCATTTATATCTCGTCCGGTAAGTTGCGCAGTATTGTCACTGAAACTTGGGAAAAAGCCTGATTTTGCCGTACATCGCGTGAATCTCGAAAAGGTCATGTTAGCCATCAAAATCAATCATCAATAACAACAATAATAGTCAATAAAAATCAATAACAATTAATTGATTGATATGGAAAATGAGTAAAAATCAAAACCGCAGTCTTGAGTGATTTTGATTTTCTTTGATTTCATTGATTTTAATTGAAAACTAAAATGTGCTTTCTCTCTGTTTTAAACACGTCACACTGCTTAGAAAATGAACCTAATTAAGTTTTCATGGTCCGATCTGCGATAACTGAATAAATTAAAAAAGTACAACAGAAACAACGGTACATACAACAATTTATTATCTTCCCGTATTGACAACAGGCAAAAACCGTAACTGAAATGTACTTTAAAGCATACGTGGTGCAGTCCTTAATGTTTAACTGAGCATGACGTTATACATGTCCTCGAGCCTGCCTTTAATGTTATTTAGTAAATTTATCGAATTCTTAGCTTAATATATCAGGAAAAATCTTTTAAAAGGGCACACATCAACGACATACAAACATGCTCAATGTGATAGGTAAAATTGTGGGGTCCACGAGAAAAACACAGTCAATGAAAATCAATAACGTTTAGACGCATCGGTGAGTGATTATCGATTTTTATTGATTGGCTAAACCAATCAATATCACTCAATAGATTTTTATTGATTTTTATTGATAATATTGATTGAAATCAATTTTTGATTTTCACTGATTGGTATCGACCTGAAGTAAAAGGACGCGACTTAGGTAAGACTTACCGTCAAGCTCGTACGTATTACTTTTTTCGGAGGACGTCTCTCATTTGTCCCGGTATAAACGGCCCTTTTGAAGTATTTTTTTTCTAAGGAACCAGTTTCGTAGAACTAACTTGGAAAGTGCAGGAAGTGTTAAGACAGACCGATGAGGGTAAAAGATGGAATAAGTTTGCGCAATGTCATAATTATGCCAAATGTGATATTATTCAGTCACATCTAGAATGACTCACAAATATAGGCAGTGAAGCGTGCCAGTAGTGGTGTCTGCTTTTCAGTGGCTTTTCGGTCTCTTTTCAGTAAGAACTAATTGAGGACTAAGTTAAATGTGGCTTATAAATAAAATGCGCGGTTAATTTACGCCGAAAGCTCACACCCGCTTCGTTCATTTCTCATCTAAGATTCTGGAAAAGATTTCTATATTTAGCGGAATCCATCTCTAAAACGTTTTCGATTTTCCCGCGAAATCCAGAATTTTTTTTAGAGGGGATGACCAAAACACTAGGGATTTGGGCATCCCGAGAGGGTACTGGGGGATGTCCAAAACGCTGCAGTAATATGAGAAGGGGATGCCCAAAATGCTAGGGATTTGGGAATGGGGATG